TAATTTAGTTTTCTTAATGTTGTGGCAAGAACTGGTCAGTATTTAAATAATTGTTTTGTCTTAGTATGTCAAGTTTTATGTAAATAGAAGCCTAATTCTGCAAAAGGCCTTTTACTACAATTTTATTCTCATAATTCGCAAAGAATTCAAACAGTGGTATATAACATTCAAGATTTTTTTAGAAGGCAATGAATCTAAAGATAAATCCCTAGAAGACAAAGATAAGTGCATGCTTGTAATAAATTTAGTCTATAATTACATAAGCGAAGCAATCAATGGGGAAAACCAATTGCTTTTTTCACACATACTCTCACAGATTCAGAATGAAAACATGCAAATGCGTTGAAGTATTAAAAAAATGCAGGCATTATCTGGTAGGAAAGCAATTCAAACCAATCACAGATTAAATCACTATTTTGTTTATATAGAATGCTGGCATATATAAAATCTGACAAGGAGAACTAGCTTTACTTCACAAGAATTTATTAATTATCTACACTCTAAAGGAATATTTCAAGTAGAACAACACCATATAACCATGAAGGAAATGGTTAAGTTGAAAGATACAATGAGTTATATAGAAATTGGTGAATCTAGCATTGAAAACCAAATATTTAGACATAACTAAATGAAAAACTGCTTTACCAGGAGCTCTGTACTATATAAGAAGTTTACTATTGAATTGTTATATTATTGAATCACACTAATGATGAAGATGAAGTCCAAATAACACATTAGAGAATTCCACTACTAAATCAATGCCAGATGTGACAGAAAATTTACCTGTTCAAAAACCTGATGATAATTATGAACCAAGATTGGAAAATTCAGATTTTCAATCTAGCTGTAAATCAGCTGGAGCTAAAAATAAACCAAGATAGTTGCAATATTTTGTTCACAAATAGGGACGGGTAAATGTACTATAATTTAGTGTTCTAAATGTTGTGACAAGAACTTGTCAGTAATTAAATAATTTTTGTGGAATTCTAATAATTAAAGCCCAATAATCAACAGACAGCCGTCAGACATTCTGAGTTCTTTGTAGTACTTACATCCTAATCTAATAACACACACTACCAGTGGTCAGTGAGAACTCTTACTGTCTGGCGTTCTACTCACAGAAAGACAGAACTCAAGAACTCTGCTAACGTGGAAACAGAAAAATTAAATGATTTAGTTGTAGAAAGAACTTTATATACATTTATATGATAATATTTTAGTCATATTTAAACCTATAAACCCAACAGTTAGCTCTGAGATTCTAAGATCCAGCACTATAAAGATGGAAAAATAACATTAAAAATAAAAAAATATGTAAAGTATTACCTAGTTACAATAAAAACATGAAGTATTTTACAAAGTTATGTTTCCAAACTCTATGTTACCAGTAACTCTTTTCTACTAATATTCATATATTTATTGAGAGACATATTAAATACATTTAAATTTAGGTTGTTCTACAAAATGGAACATTAAAAGTACATAGATGAGACAAACCATGGTCATATGGTACTCTAAGACCAATCTCACTCACAGACAGATCCCTCCTCGCACTTAACAGGCAAGCTCATAGACCTTTCCATATGATAGTGTAGTCATGGTCTGCTAATCTAATATCCAACTTTGAAAGGCGCACACCTGTAGAAATTATGTCGAACCCTCTCTACTGTGATGATTTTTAAGATAGTTGTTGAACCACCACCTACAAAATAATTCAAATAGTAAGCAAGTAAGACTGATTTTATAATACATAATTTTAGGTTAAATTTATAATTAACTAATTTTATAAGTAAAAGGTCACATACATACATATATTGGCATAATAGTTCTTACCTGGTGTTGGTAAAAACAAACTCAGAAAGGCTGTTCTCGTAATACCGGTATGTCCAACATTAATTATATCCATGATATAAGGAAACAAGGTATGCTCACTAGGTGGACTTGTTTTTGCATATTTCTGCGCCGACGCCGCCGACCAAAATCCACCATCTTTTCAATATGTCACATGCGTGTAGGGACGATGACCTGATCCCGTACCAGTTACTTTGGAACATGTATTTTATTTATACTTCTGGAACTGATCCCTAACACCAATATAATTATTATAATAAGCGAGTACGGGTCATGGACGTATAAATAAAGATCTTTATTTACACGTCCATGGTACGGGTACTGTACTCATAGTAAGTGTAAGTGAGCATACCTGACCTGATCCACAAAAATACTTGGATCAACCACCTCTACATGCGTGACGTCTACTTTGTTTACTTTTGCATTTTTTAACCTTACTTTGCAATGTATTGGAATTTAAAAGTAAATGTGTTTTTGTTTTGTTTCGATTTTTTAAAAATTATTTTAGCAAGAGTCTGTTTAGATTATTTTAAATATGAATTAATTGGATTAATGTATAATATTAATTTATTTTATTTAATTTAACTACGATATTTCGTATCAATTTTGTACATATTTGAATTGCCGCCTTCAAAATGGCGGATTTTGGTCGTAAACAATGACGTATAATATATAGACTACGCAGTCCCCTATTCTCGCTATAGAATCAAGTGTCCGAAAGATCTCGGCTCAAGGTTGAAGGTATGTTTATCACAACAGCGGCGTGCTCATTTATATGTTAATGACAATAATTATTTTTTTAATTAAAATTAAATATTTATGATTTCTTTTTGTCAAGTCTATAAGAGAAATAATTATTTTGACAAAATAGTATGGCATTTTACTAAAATAGTAAGTAAATAACTCTCAACAATTTAAAATAAAATTTGCTTGTCACACAAAATGGAGAAAATGTTTTCATACGTCCATGATGTTTTAAACACAAGATCAACTTCGTGATGCTTCGTAAGAAATCATGAACTTCGTGCATCTTCGTATCAAAACAATAAACAATAACAAAGGTATTCATGTTTTGGACACTTTTTAAAGCGCTCACCGAGTCTATATATTATACGTCATTGGTCGTAAACGCGATTGGCTGTTCAAAATAGATGCGCGTGAGCATACCATGTTTCCTTATATGAATCGTCTAATTTCAAAACCGGCCATCTCCACTCAAGTAAGTTTTGAGAAAAATGCAAAAAACTGCTGTCAAAAAACTAATGAGTAAAAAATTTGTGTTAATATTATTTTGTGTTTATGATGATAATACAAAGGCATTTCACTATCATAAAATAATGAGTTTCGTATACACATGCGTAAAAATTAATAAAAAAGTTGGAGATGGCCGGTTTTGAAACTAAGCTAGAGAGTTGGCCGGTTTTGAAAATAACCTATATGGATATGGCCGGTTTTGAAATTACCTGCCAATGTCTGGCCTATATTGGTTTAAGTGATAAGCCAGCCATTCTTTCATTTTTATTAACTAATTATTAAACAAGTATAACGCATACGTTCTTAAAGTTTATTTTAAAACACCAAAAAATACAAATACATGGAACTCAAACAAAAGTTTAAAACTAAGAGACAGTTAAATTAGACATAAATATCTCTTTCTTCTATTTCCTCACACACCAAGTCATCTGTAGGAGCTTCACCTGTAGATTGTTCAACAGTAGCATAGAACTTTAAATTTTCCAACTCTCGCCAGTTTGCTCCATAGTGCGCTTCCAAAAGTGCCGAAACGTCCTTGATTTTCTTGGCATTTGGAGCCATACCAGTTGTTAAAAGAGGAGGAACTAAATTATTGACAGTTTTTCCTTTTTTGACTACTAATTTGTCACTTCCTAGATCGACACGATAAGCCTCCTCACCCCGAATAGTGATATTATTACGTTTTGTGGTCTTCTGTAAAATAAACCTTTTTGAAGGGTTGAATTTAAAGTGCCACTGTCCTGGAGGCTTTATAATTTCCAGTGTGGCACTCTTCCAATCATTTATTTCCAAATTATTTATATTCCAAACAGTTCCATGGTCTTTAAGAATATTTACATATTCTTCAGGTTTTATTATAATTTCAATTTTTCTTAATTTTTTCTCTATTTGAGCGAATACTCTATCGGGTGGTATAAACGAATGACCTACAATGGGAAAGATAACCTGAACTGTTTTAACATTTTCTGGGGCGAACGATACAAGCCATTTTGATAACATCCCCATCAAAGTGGTGTTTTTATTTTGTCCACCACAGCCATCAGCGAATAAACGGACGGTGTCAATATTTTTTAAATCTGTTTGGCATAATCTGTGGAAAACTGCACTAGCAATTTCGTTGGAACTTTTGGGCCTATCTGTTTCGTTCCAATAATAAATATGAACATTGCTTTTAGTTAAAGCATCATGTGAGCTGCCTACTACAATAGTAAAGTTGTAGAAGTTCCACTGACGACTGAAGTAGGCTCTTTGGTCTGGCACCTTTGGTAGACTCATATTCTTTTGACAATCAAAAGATATAGTGAGCAACCCATCTCTTTTCTCCTGCAGCATATGAAAAAATGCCTTAGCCTTTAACTTGTGCACCCTATGTTGTGTAATTAAATTTTGTTGTTCAGTTGGTTCCTTTTCCGTTTTAATTTTTTCTCCAATTTCTAAGCATTTGGAGCAGACGTCTACTCTGGGAGTTCCAAATCCCAAGTTATACTGTTTGTTAAAAATATTGCGGAAAAATGATTGCTTCACTTTAAGATGTAATTCAACACCTTTGTTGTACATTTTCCACATGGACTTGATGTTGAGCTCAGACGGTAAATATAGCCTAACAGACGTTTTTGAGCGACAGTAATGCGGTTCTTGGGCTGTGAAAGATTCGATAAATTTCATAACTGCCATTTTTTTGGAAATATTTTTTGAACTTTTTCGATCGCCTCCCCTTGTTTCTTTTGCTCCACTACCGCCGCATTTAAAAGAACGCTTCATTACCCCTTGGACACGATGCCTTTTAAGAACCAGAATATTTAAATATGCTGTTCTACATACTGGTACTTTTATACCATCTACTCTTCGAACAAAATATTTAAATGTGTAAGACTTTTCTGAACGGGAAGATGTTTTCGGGCGATGTCGTTTAGGTTTCTCTAGACTAGTATGGTTTAATATAAAATTATCTTGCTGAATTTTGTCCTTGGAACGGTAGAAATTTTCATGGAACGTCAAAATGTCTTGCATTTTTAATGATCTACACTGATAGGCTTTCGTATTGTGTTTACACTTTGGATATTCAGGAAGTTCTTTACTCGAATACCTGCAACAAGAGTAAACTAAGGTCAAACTTATAATTAAAATTAAAATGTATTTCAATTACTTTAGATGTATTTAATTACGTGATTATACTTTTAATTTCTTATATTTTCAAAAGTATTTCAATTACTTTTTTCCCCAAAATTTAAATACACAATAATTGAAATTTTGAAATACATTTTTTTCATGACTTTAAAATTTCCAATACTTTCACTGTTTTCATTTCTATGTAGAGCTGGCAGTTATAGCATGTAAATAAAGGTAGGTAGGTAGGTAGGTAAAAGGTACTACTTAATGAGGATTAGACCAATGGGTTTTTCCCAAAATTAAATAACCATTGTGTAGTATTAAAATATTGGTTATTTAATTTTTGTTAGTTTTTTGCAGATTGATTATTATTATGATAATCATCCTTTTATTTATTAGGTATTGGGGTTCAAATGGGGTAGTGATGCGTAAAATATGACGCTGCATCCTGTTAGCGTCACTAGCCTCTCCTACTCAATTCCAACTCTCACCTCCACGCGGTGAACCCTGGTAACCTGAGCAACTCTGTGGAAGATTGTGGTAACCAACCCCAGTGGGAAGCAGAGTCAGGGCAAACGAGAGTGGGAGAAATGGTCCTTCGAAGATTAGGGGGTTGGGCAAAAGGTTAACGACCTCTTCCCTTAAAAAAACTCATTGTTATGAAAGCACAAAGTGGAAAAGCCGGACTGTTTAATTCACGACGACCTAGCAAACGACAACGGAATAACGATTTACGGATATGCACATGGAATGTACGAACCCTTTATGCCCCAGGTGCTCTTAGACTGCTAACACAAGAACTTGATAAAATGAAAGCCGATGTAGTAGCGATTCAAGAGATGAGATGGACTGGTTCAGGAATCATCGAGAAAAGAGACTACAATATATACTATAGCGGACATAGCAGCCGACACGAGTTTGGCAGTGGTTTTCTAGTCAGTAAAAAAGCAAAGCAATTAGTCCTTAACTTTAAACCCATAAACAACAGAATATGTTATCTACGTCTTAAAGGAAAATTCTTTAATTATAGCTTACTTAGTGTACACGCACCTACGGAAGAAAAGGAGGATAATGAAAAAGATGAATTCTATGACACCTTAGACAAAGAATATGATCGATGTCCACGTCATGACGTGAAAATCATTGCTGGAGACCTTAATGCAAAAATTGGCAAAGAGCAATTTTTCCAGCCAACTATAGGACGTGAGAGCTTACATGAAGAGTCAAATGATAACGGGTTGAGACTAATAAACTTTGCAAGCACTAAAAACATGATAGTAGGAGGAACAATATTTCCCCATAAAATGATACACAAAGGAACATGGAAATCCCCTGATAACGAAACCATTAACCAGATAGATCACATCCTGATAGATGCAAGGCACTCTTCCGATCTCATAGACGTCAGAAGCTACCGAGGCCCAAACATTGACAGTGACCACTTTCTTGTAATGGCAAAAATCAGAGGAAGAATATCAAACCTAAAGAAAGATAAACACACGAAACAAGACAGAATTAATGTTGATAATCTGCGCATTGAAACCGTTGCGAGAGAGTATAGGAGACAAATGGACGAAGAAATGGAGAGCCTGGAGGTGGGGGAAAACGTAGAGGAACTGTGGACAAAATGTAAAAACATAATAACTGAGAAAGCAACAAAAATATTGGGGAAAACCAAACCAGTTAAAGAAAACGAATGGTTTGACAAGGAGTGCCAAGAAGCAACAGATAACAAAAACAGGGCATACCTAAAGACAAATCAAGCTGGATGCACAAGAAGAGCAAAGGAAGAATACCGGACACTAAGAAGAGAAGAAAAACGATTACATAGAAGAAAAAAAAGACAATTTGAGCAAAAGCAATTGGAAAGCACAGAATTTCTAAGAAATCAAAATGAAACTCGAAAGTTCTACAGACATCTAAACAAAATGCGCAAAGAGTTTAAGCCAAGAATAAGGAGCTGTAAGGATGTAGAAGGAAACATCCTAAATGATACGGCCTCAATCCTAAACAGATGGGTTGAATTTTTCGATGCAAAATTTAATGGCCATCATATCGAAGAAGCAGATAACACCCTAGCAAATCGAAATGATTGGAATCCTTTCAACCCAAACGAAAGACCACCTACCATCGAAAACGTTGCCCAAGCCATTAAAAAGCTTAAAAATAATAAATCACCAGGAGTTGATCAAATTTGCAGTGAGCTCTACAAGAATGGTGGCGATGCCCTACTACAGACACTGCATAAGCTTTTACTTCTTGTTTGGCATAATGAGACCATGCCTTGTGAATGGTCTCAAGGCGTGATATGCCCGTTACATAAAAAAGGTGACCAGCTCCAGTGTGACAACTATAGAGGTATAACCCTGTTAACAACTGCTTACAAAATACTAGCAAATATTCTCTACGAAAGGTTGCAAGTTTACACAGTGGGCATAGTTGGTAAATATCAAGTTGGATTCACTCCAGAAAAATCAACAATTGACCAGATTCATTCAATAAGACAGATTCTCGAGAAAACATTAGAATTCAATATTGAAACCCATCACCTATTCGTCGACTTCAAGGCAGCATATGACAGTGTCAAGAGAACAGTGCTATACCAATCAATGCATGAGTTTGGTATACCAGAGAAACTTATCCGACTAACGAGAATGACAATGTCTAACTTAGAAGCCACTGTTAGAATACAGGGAGAGAGTTCTAGATCCTTTGAGATAAAGGATGGACTCAGACAAGGAGATGCTCTGGCTTGCCTCCTATTTAATATTGCCTTAGAAAAGGCAGTCCGAGATACACGAATTAGGGACGGCGGTACTATTTACAATAGATCGATACAAGTCTTAGCATATGCTGATGACATTGACATAATAGGGCGTAGCAAGCGAGATGTTGAGCAATATCTCCTAGAATTGGAAACAGCGGCGAAACAAGTCGGTCTAGTCATCAACGAAGACAAAACCAAGTACATGTTGGTTACAAAGGATCCGACAGCAAATGAGGAACGAGAAACAGTCTTTGGAAGTCATACCTTTGAACGTGTTGACAACTTCACATACCTTGGGTCGCTATTGACTGCTACCAATAAAACAAGCGAAGAAATCAAAAGACGAATAAATCTTACAAATAGAGCATACTATGGACTCCAAAAGCATTTCCACTCAAGAAACATTCAAAGAAGAACTAAAATTATTATATACAAAACATTGCTGAGGCCGGTCCTCACATATGGAGCAGAAACATGGACATTAACGCAGAAAGATGAAAGACTTTTGGGAATATTTGAGCGTAAAATACTCCGCAAAATATTTGGAGCTGTAAACGACCAAGGGCAGTGGCGCAGAAGATATAATTTTGAATTGTATCAGCTCTTTGATGAGCCAGATGTCATAACGTTCATTAAAACACAGCGACTTAGATGGGCTGGACACATAATACGAATGCCAGAAAATACCATTGCTAAAAAGCTAACCACAGGAACACCTGTAGGAACAAGAAGCAAAGGCCGACCGCGAATTAGGTGGTTAGATGGAGTAGAAACCGACCTACGAATATTAAAAATCAGAAGATGGCAACATGTTGCCAAAAACCGAACAGAATGGCGACGAATCTTAGAGCAGGCCAAGATCCACAGAGGATTGTCGAGCCAAAGATGATGATGATTTATTAGGTATTATTACAATATTTTATACAACCGATATTGTAGGAGAAGTTCTGATGATTAAATTTAGTTTAATATAAAAAAAGCATTGTGAACATTAAAACTACTGGGATAAAATTGTAAATTGGGATAGTATTTAATTACTTTTAAATACTTTGCTAAAGTATTTTGTATTGTAATTAAATGCATGTTCAAAAAATGTATTTAACTACATTGAAAAAGGTATTTTTAACAACATTGTGAATAAGATTACCTTAATATTTTTAGTTTCTCATTTTTCCATTCATCAGAATGTTTTCCTTTTTTTCTTGCCAATGTCGAAGAAACGGTGGAGATTGTGCTTCCTATACTGTCATCCATCCTATTGCTTAGTATTCACAATAAATCACAATTAACAAAATTTAATAACAACTTTAAAAAAATGACAAAAACAAACTTGTTTACACATAAATCGTTTATAAGGAACAGCACAGCAGAGAGTTTAAAGCTAACTGACACAAAATACGCCGGGACCTGTCCAATTGCGGATTTCCTATTGGTCGGTTGGAGATGGCCGGGTTTGAACCCAAGGCAGCATTGGAGATGGCCGATTTTGAAATTAAGGACAATTATTGTAGCTTAATTTGACATAGATCTGGCCGTTTTTGTTAGGAAATGATTTTATAATACGGTATAGGTAATGTTTTGGAATAAAATGTGATTATAATCACTTATAACTGAAATTTTGGAGATGGCCGGTTTTGAAATTAGACGATTCATATCATGATTATATCGTCCTCTTTAAAATGACTAGCGCATACACGAAAATTGTTATAAATAGTTTCTGTTGCAGCATTCTATAATTAGGGCTCTTAATAACATTCCCCATTTATCAAACATATCCATATAAGAAAAACTATATTGTTTGCCAGTAGTATCCATGCAATCTGAAAAACATCTTTTTTGTTCAGTTCTTCGTCTCTACATTGTTATTCCATGTAATCTGTTCGAGTCCATAATAAAAAATCGTCTAAAATTGTACCTTTTTGCACCACTGATATAAAAAATTTTAAATTATAAAATAAATTATAAAAGATAAAACCATAGATAAATAATATAATAGTAGAAATAGATAGGCAACTCAATGTATAAATTTCGTTCATTAGGCCCATCGAGCAATAAGACAAAAGAGGGAATGTAAAGGTAGAAGGGGTAAACATATTGATAGACAGGAAGTGCCATCTTGAGAGGCCACTTTAGACAAGGATAGAGAGTCTCTCTCCTTGTTTGACATCAAATTTAGTTGGGTTATGTTATTGTTTGTCCCAAATGTCACATGAAATCTTATTTATATTGAAGTTTTTTAACAATTGTGTCGCATTTTAGACTCTTATCATTAATAATTAATTAAAACTTTCTCGTCTAAGACACATTTTGAAAAATATTATATAGCTACTGTTTATAAGTGTCGAAAAATTTAAATTTGGCGCCTTTGCATTTCCGGATGTGTCCGCCATCAGAGGCCACTTTTTTGGTCTCCTTTTTATAACGATTAGATTCCCTCTTTTGTCTTATTGCTCGATGATTAGGCCCCTTGTGGCTGGGGTCAATACTAATCATCTTTTGGCGGCAAATTCGAATGAACACCCCTCACATACATACCCTTTAGCGCCTCTTGAGGGCTATTTCGTTACTAATTAAAATTTATTGGAAAATAAGATATATTATTATAAAAGATGCACAATTTTTTCTAGATATACGTATATTTATTTGTTGTTTAAGATAAAACAGTTATAAAATAATTACATAATATTTATTACACATATTTTCAGAAGTTAAATACTATTATTTTTTGCTTCCTGACAACTTACTATCATCCTTTTTGTAATTTTTCCATGATTTGTACACAACGAACAATAAAATAATTCACCATGTTTAGTTTTGTTACTAGCACTACACAAAAATTCTTTGGTACAATAGGTAACTTTAAAAATTAAGTAACCAAATTTAAATTAAAATTACTAAGAATAAATGTAAACGAAAGTTAAAGATAATAAAATAAAATTGAAAACTTGTAAACAAACGGAAGATCTGTCATTACTTTGGATTGACAGAATTGACATTGCGTCGTTTGATTATTTTATTTGGTTTATGATTGGTTAAAGTCTTCGTGAGAGAGATAGGCTGTCATTTCTCTTTATTAACTCGCTGGGGTCAAAGTGATGGGGGAATGAACCAAATCATTCATATAAGATTCCAGGCCATGGATAAAACAAATACAAATATGGCGCCGTATTTGTCTAAACCATCGAGCAATAAGACAAAAGAGGGAATGTAAAGGTAGTGGGGGTAAACATATTGATAGACAGGAAGTGCCATCTTGAGAGGCCACTTTAGACAAGGATATACAGTCTCTTTCCTTGTTTAAGAAGTCAAATTTAGTTAGGTTATGTTATTGTTTGTCCTAACTGTCACATAAAATTTTATTTATATTGAAATATTTTACCAATTGTGTCACTTTTTAGACTATTATAGTTAATATTTAATTAAAACTTTCTCGTCTGAAAAATATTTTATAGCTATTGTTAATAAGTGTTGGAAAATTTAAATTTAGCGCCTTTGCATTTCCGGATATGTCCGCCATCAGAGGCCACTTTTTTGGTCTCCTTTTCATAACGATTAGATTCCCTCTTTTATCTTTTTGCTCGATGGTCTAAACTCAACTTTGAATTTTCCACAGCACACCCCCTCCGCGCAGGAAAGAGACTAGCAGCGCCACCATACGAATGGGCGCCAAATCCGAACATGATTTGGCCTTGGCTATCTCTGTTACCAATCTAGGTAAATTTATCTATGAGGAGAATTCCCTTCTATAATTGAAATAAAAATATATACATGAGCTGGCCACGTACCTAAGAGGTGGAGGCCATAAAACGAAAAAAGAAGAAGAAGAATCATATTCATGATTATTTTTTACCAAAAAAAGGGATCAACTTTGTTTTGAGCGTAACTTGCTTACGTTTGATGCTAGAAACTTTTTTAAAAATTAAAAATAAAGATTAAAATAAAGATTTAACAAAATATTAGACCTTAATTTAAAAATAAAAGTTTATTATTTAATTTCTATTGCGCCGCCTATGTTTTACAAAGACGCCGACACTTGAGTGTCTGTAGCGTTTACGCTACTGATAATCCAATATCCAATTTAAAAATCGTATTCACAGAGCCCCTCACGAAATTTTTTGGGATCCGCCAACGATCGATTTTTAAATCGACATTTCTCCACTCACGCGCTGGGAGCGCTTTGTAAGGATTGATCGATTTTGTGCGGTAGAAAAGCAGTAAGTTTTGGTCAGAACTCAGCGCAGACACGCCAACCGGTGAAATTTTTCCACCTTCAAAGTGACGGAATTGGAGCAGTGAAATAATCTGGGACGAATAAAATAATACCTAATTTAATAATCATATCTTAAAAATAATAATCAGTAAATTTTAAAAATCAAGTTTCATGTAAGAGTTCCACAGAAAAAGGAAGATTTTTTCTGGCGTGCTGCGGCTCCATATTCCGTCACTTCACTTGAGAGTATTCTCTTGAGAATATTCCCTCAAGGAATAGTTACGGAATTTATTGAATAGTTAACAACTTGGTTATGGAGTTACCGATTTCTCGGAGCAGATAGACCAGTGCCTGGTTTGACTAAATTAGACTCCCCTGGGTTTATCCTTACAGCCACAAACTGATGTAACCGTGCCAAGAGGAGTTTTTCCTATGGACTTATAGTGCTGTAAAGATAAGTTGTTTGACTGTGTAATTTTTTTTGTTACTGTCTATTTGTTAACTTTTCATATGCATATGATCAAGTGACTACATTTTGATAAAATATAATTTTGATATTATTGGGAGAGGAAAATACCTTTCATATTTTATGAGGTTTTAATTTTAATTAGGATTTGAAGAGTACTGACCAAACTCACTTTTGCTATAATATTTTTTTTAATACAATACATTTGATATAATACAATTTGATATTGGGAGAGGGAAATAAATTTAATGTGGTTTTTTTTTTAAATATGATATAATGAGTATGGAACAACTCACTTTTTTGGATGTAATATATTTAATAGAATTGTAATAGATTTATCAAGTTTGATATCTTTACAATATTGTAATTTGTATCTCTTTTTAGTAGAACTATTTAAATTTAAATTACTACCTTTTTGTGTTAAGATTTTGGCTACCATACGGACTATTCTTGGTGTTACTAATATTTTTATACCTTATTTGGCCAGTGGTAGTGATTATTCGCTTGTTGAGGGGCTATTAGGTCCTATTGTATCTTTACACTACCACTGTTATTTAGCTTTGCATTATATGTAAATTGTTCATACATATATATCTATATATACGTTTTATAAATATATTTATTGTTACTATTTTGAGTTTTATTTCAGTTTCTACAAACCAATATATAATATAGCAAGACAAGATTAGTATTTAGTATTTTGTATTTCAGGTTATTATCTCCAGTATCATTTGTTTCCTGTCCTTTGTTACTTCAAAATCTCAACTATCGTTGAGTTGGCGCCCTTCTTCTTCTCTTCTTATTGTTCTTTTTCTATAAATTTATTCCCAGTGACCTTCTTTAGTTGTATCACGTTTGATATAACCAGGCCTCATTTCGTTTCTTGTCTCATTAGCTCAGTATCCTTGCTATCTGTTTATATCTTTAAAGCCACAATCCAGTGCATTGAAGCTAGCCCGAACACTCTTCTTCTTCTTAAAGTGCCCTCTCCTCAATGGAGGTTGGCTACTACAATTTTAAACTCTTCTCTATCTTCAGCTGTTCTTATTAGCTGTTCAAAATTTAGCCCTGTCCATTGTCGGATGTTTCTGAGCCATGATAGTCTTTTCCTTCCTAGGCCTCTCTTTCCCTCGATTTTTCCTTTCACTATAAGTTGGGCATATTGGTACTTATTATTTCTCAGTATGTGGCCTAGGTATGATGTTTTTCTTACTTTAACTGTGTTAAAAAGTTCTCTTTTCTTGCCTATTCTATGCAGCACTTCTTCGTTTGAGGTATGCGATGTCCATGAAATTTTGAGTATTCTCCGGTAGATCCACATTTCAAAGGCCTCCAATTTATTTACGGTTGCTGTTTTAAGGGTCCACGTTTCCACTGCATATAGAAGAGTCGACCAGACGTAGCATTTTGATAAACGTAATCGAATTTCGAGTTTTATTCGAGAATCACAAAGCAGTTTTTTTATTTTTTCAAAAGATTTTCTAACCTGTTCTATTCTCGATCTTATTTCTTGATCAGGATTTAGGCTGCTATCGATCCAACATCCCAGGTACTTAAATTTATTGACCTGTTCTAAGA